GCCCGGCCAGTGTCACTCAGTGGTTGAGCGTCGACTCATGAACCAGGAGGTTATAGTTTGATTCCAGGTCAGGCACATACTTGGGCTGCAGGTTTTAATTCCAGTAGGGGATGTGCAGGAGGCAGCCAATCAATGATTGTCATAATTGATGTTTCTATCTCTCTCTCCCTCTTCCTTCTCTCTCTACAATCAACGAAGACATATTAAAAAATAATATTATATATAAAGATTATCAAAGCACAAATTCTATGAACTGCACCCATAATAGATACAAATGTTTCTACTTCAATGAAACCTTCGCTATATTCTTCATATAGAAGAACAAAGAAAACACATCTGCTCTATGAAGTTGTTCTGAACATTTCAGAAATAATGAGTTAGACTGCACATCAGGATGGTTTGATTGGAGGACTGAAGGTATTTCTTCCCAAGACTTACAAATAAACTTCTGTTAGCAGCATAAATATATTGATTCCTACATGTAACATCATCAGCCTCCCCCAATTCCACACTTTTTAAAAGATACTGTTTATCATCATAAGTTTCTGAATAGGTTGTATATTTTGGAGCTGCATATAGTATAAAGATGTCTTATACATATTTCACTATCATTGACTATATCTTAAGATATTCACAATTTCTTGAATATAAAAGACCATGATTTAGAAATTCAATGTCACAAAATCCAACACCCTTTCTTGAAAAAAACTCTCAGCAAGGTGGAAATAGAAGAATCATACCTAAATATAATAAAAGCCATATATGACAAACCCACAGCCAAAAATCATACTCAATGGGCAAAAACTAAAACCATTTCCCCTAAGAACAGGAACAAGACAGGAATGCCCATTCTCACCACTCCTGTTTGACATAGTACTGGAAGTACTAGCCATTGCGATCAGACAAGAAGAAATAAAAGGCATCCAAATTGGAAATGAAGAAGTAAAACTGTCCTTATTTGCAGATGACATGATACTGTACATAGAAAACCATAAAGACTTCGTCAAAAAATTATTAGACTTAATAAATGAATTCAGCAATGTAGCAGGATACAAAATTAATGCCAAGAAATCTATGGCATTGCTATACACCAATAGTGAACTTACAGAAAGAGCAACTAAAAAAGCAATCCTATTTACCATCACACCAAGAAAATTAAGATACCTAGGAATAAACTTGACTAAGGAGATAAAAGACCTATATGGAGAAAACTACAGGACACTGAAAAAAGAGATAGAGGAAGACATAAACAGTTGGAAGAACATACCATGTTCATGGATTGGTAGAATCAACATCATTAAAATGTCCATACTACCCAAAGCTATCCATAGATTCAACCCACTCCCCATTAAAATGCCAATGGCATATTTCACAGACCTAGAACAAACATTCCAAAAATTCATCTGGAATAAAAAAATAAATGACCCCAAATAGCTGCAGTGATCCTGAGAAAGAAGAACAAAGGTAGGTGGGATCTCAATACCAGATATCAAGCTGTATTACAAAGCCACTGTTCTCAAAACTGCCTGGTACTGGCACAAGAACAGACATATAGATCCATGGAATAGAATAGAGAACCCAGAAATCGACCCAAACCACTATGCTCAATTAATATTTGACAAAAGAAGCATGAACATACAATGGAATCAAGACAGTCTCTTTAATAAATGGTGTTGGGAAAATTGGACAGATACATGCAAAAAAGGAAAACTAGACCACTAACTTACACCATACACAAAAATAAACTCAAAATGGATAAAGGACTTAAATATAAGACAGGAAACAATAAAAATACTAGAGGAATCCACAGGCAGCAAAATCTCAGACATATACCGAGGCAATTTCTTCACCAATACATCTCCTAGGGCAATGGAAACTAAAGTGAAAATAAACAAATGGGACTACATCAAAATAAAAAGCTTTTGCACAGCAAAAGAAACCATCAACAAAACAACAAGAAAGCCCACTGCATGGGAGAACATATTTGCCAATGTTATCACCGATAAGGGTTTAATCTCCAACATTTACAGGGAACTCATACAACTTAACAAAAGGAAGATAAACAACCTAATCAAAAAATGGGCAACAGACCTAAATAGATACTTTTTGAAAGAAGACAGAAGGAAGGCCAAGAGACATATGAAAACATGCTCAAAGTCACTAATCATCTGAGAGATGCAAATCAAAACAACGATGCGGTACCATCTCACACCTGTCAGAATGGCTACCATCAACAAATCAACAAACAACTAGTGTGGCGAGGATGTGGAGAAAAAGGAACCCTCGTGCACTGCTGGTGGGAATGCAGACTGGTGCAGCCACTGTGGAGAACAGTATGGAGTTTCCTCAAAAAACTAAAAATGGAACTTCTATGTGACCCAGTGATCCCACTTCTAGGAATATATCCCAAGAAACTAGATACACCAATCAGAAAGGATATATGCACCCCTATGTTCATAGCAGCACAATTCACCATCGTTAAGATTTGGAAATAGCCTAAGTGTCCATTAGCAGATGAGTGGATTAGAAAACTGTGGTAAGAAAGAAGGAATTCTTACCATTTGCAATAACATGGATGGAACTGGAGAGCATTGTGCCAGTCAGAGGAAGATAAATATCACAAGATCTCACTCATTTATGGACTATAATAAACAACATAAACTGATGAACAAAAACAGATCCAGAGACAGAGAAACATGGATCAGACCATCAAACCTCAGAGGGAAGGTAGAGGAGGGTGAGGGTAAGGGGAGAGATCAACCAAAGGACTTGTATGCAGGCATATAAGCCTAACCAATGGACACAGACAACAGGGTGGTGAGGGCAAGAGTGGGGGATAGTGGGGGGCAGAAAGGGGGAATAAGGACACATATGTAATACCTTAATCAATAAAGAAATTTTTAAAAAATTCAATGTCACGGTCATTTGGAAGATTTGGAAAGTATGATTTATTTTGCAGGACAAATATCTGTGGTAGTTATATTAGCAAAACATCATTAGTTAGCAAAAGTGAACCAGGTAAAGCAATTTGCTAGTAAAGCTTCCTTCAGTTCAACAGTTCCTTAATCCCACCTGACTCATATAACCATTTAATAGTTAGATACTGAATCACCAAAATTTTTATTCTCATATCAATGTGTTCATTTATTTAGAACATAAATATCACATTAAACAGATAGTCTACAATCTGTTTTTCAAACTGAATGATATACTATGAAAATTAATATACATTTGTACTATGGAAATTACATATGTTCCTAATTATTTATTACAGCTTTCATCAAAATTAAGTTAAAACATTGTAGGGCATGGCTATTGGGTTAAGCCTCTGACTGACCTGTTGGCAAAGCTACAAAAAAGTCCCAGCTTAGAGGGCACAGTCCTCTTAGCATAATTAGGCTTGACCTTATGACACTCAATAGATCTTATCTGGGCAGCTAATGGGCTGAGGGAGATGCAGCAAGTGCTGCCAAAACAAGTAAAACTCACAAGAACATTGTAACTATGGTGACCATTACCTTGTTTATCTCTGGCTATAAAATAAAGGCTCAACTTGCCTCTGGATCGCTCTCTGTGGATCAGCCAGGCACAGAAGATCCACCTAGGTCCTAGACCAGCCGTGGGCAAACTACGGCCCGTGGGCCAGATCCGGCCCGTTTGAAATGAATAAAACAAACAAAAAAAAAAGACCGTACCCTTTTATGTAATGATGTTTACTTTGAATTTATATTAGTTCACACAAACACTCCATCCATGCTTTTGTTCCGGCCCTCCGGTCCAGTTTAAGAACCCATTGTGGCCCTCGAGTCAAAAAGTTTGCCCACCCCTGACCGAGACCCAGCTCATTCTCTCTGTCTGTCTTTTCTTCATCCTTCACCGCCCTCGTTCAGGCTTGCGGAACCCTTGGCTGAGCTGGCTCAGCACAAAACATGACACTTATTTTAATAGTGCAGACCTTAGATAAGTGTTTAATTTTAAGCTATCGGCACAGATTTTGAGAATTCAAGGCACTGAGCTGTGCAAAATATATATATATATATATATATATATATATATATATATATATATATATATATAACTATAAAATGATGAGAATATACATAAGACTTGAAGGTTCTAACATAAAAGTATCCAGTGTGTTTAGGGACCTTTTGCCACATTGATATTTACTCTATATTTTGTAGGTATGAAATTGATTCTTGATTAGTTTGTACAACTCTCATAGAAGATTCCAATTTACACACTATGCTTTATCTTTATAAATTGTCTCTTTAACTATGAGATTGTGATATTAATATATTTGAATTTAAAAGAAACTTGATTCCTCATGAACATTTGTAATTGACAATTAGATTTAAATTGACTCATTAATCTTGTCATATTTGAACTACTACTTGTTAATTCAGTGACTTTTTGTAATTAGATAAACTGTATCAACTATTAACATTCACTTGAAGTTTAGAGAAAAACAAAACAAAACATTCCCCCTCTTTAGTTAGGGAGTCCATAAAAATATAACTGCACTATATTTTCTTATGTGGGTATACCATACTTTATTCAACTATTCAACTTCTGATGGGCATTTAGGTTGCTTCAAGTAATTAAAACTCTTATAATCCTTTGACAGTATTACTTGTACAAAATAGGTAATATGCATTTGTTGAATAAACAAACCAAACCAAAAAAAACACAACACTCTAGATTTTCTATAGTCCTTGAAAGTAGAAGTTAGGTACTTTTCATTTATTAAATTCTAAATACCAAGGCCCTCAACTCATAGCACACGTTGTTTCCTGCTAAATTCTGTTGAATGTTGAAACTGTTTTGTGAGAAGGCACAGCTTGGATTATGGTTGTGAATTAGCATTCCTTTTCCTAACGCAGCCCGAGTTGGTATATGGCTGGATTCCCGGGCATTAACTGTAGGTTCAGAATGGCGACCAGAGTTGGGCCTTCATGAACATGATCTCAATGAAACCAAACCACAGAGGAAGCACTTACCTGGACGAGGAACATGGCTATGTGGTGAAATTCTCCACGGCCCCCTTGCTTAACAGGAACTGTCATAAAGAATTTGCTGCCATCTCTAGAAAACACGGGCTCCTCATTCTGAAATATAGAAGTGACATAACAATCTCACATGACATAGGAAATTCGTGCTGCCAACTATTGCTAAGGCATGCAGGGATTAGATCCGTTTTTATTTTAGAACTAGAGGCCCATTGCACGAAGATTCGTGCAATAGGCCTTCCTTCCCCTGGTTAATGGCACCGGTTTTCCTCCAGCACCCAGGACCCAGGCCTTTGGTCTGGCCACAGCGGAGAAGCCAAGCCTCTTCAGTCTTTGCTCGGGCTGGAGCCTTCAGTCTTCGCTTGGTGCCTGCATATGCAAATTAACCCGCCATCTTTGTTTGATTAATTTGCTTACTCATCCTGATTGGCTGGTGGGTGTAGCAGAGTGATGACCAATTTACATATTTCTCTTTTATTAGTGTAGATTTGTTTGGAAAATGGTCAAAAAGTGTATAATGATATATATCTTAAGTGAACTTAGTACATTGTGTGTATGTGTGTGTTTGAGTGATGTAAAGGATGGGGTGTTTCTTAAACACTGGATACATATGATTTACAGTTAAACTAAAGACAGTTTTTAAATTGGTTCAAAAAGAACTTTCATATCTTTTACATAAGATATGATTATGGTTAGCAATTTATTCTTTAAAAATATGAAAAATATAAGCATCTTCACCAGTTTATCAAAATAATTTGTTTTTAATTTAGAAATTTTTATAATATAATATTTAATATATTTTTCTGAAAACTTTCAGCAACTCTACATATTTGAAGGTACATTTATAGTGGTGTATACATAAATTTATTAAAAGTAAAAAATCAAAAAGCCACAAAATAGAAAGGAATCTGTTGAAAAACATTTCATTCATATCCCCCTCTACAAACCTACAGTTGATGATGTTTAAATTAAACTCTAGTGGCATGTTAAATTAAGAAAATTATTTTTTATAATTAAATTATGGAAACTACACATATAGATTGCTCTCTCTTGCTTCAGGGGAAACATTAAGAAAATGGATTTACCTGACTAAACATTGTGTTCTTTCTTATTGGATTACTGAAGGTGATTATACATATGGTGTAATGAAAGGCTTCGATATGATTGCCTCTCTAGGGCTTTAAATGGCTTACAGGCCCTTTATTGATGATCTGGCGCTCCACTCTTTCTGATCTCATCTTCAATTCTCCTCTTTCCTCTTTGTACACGTTTCTTCTGAATAGCACCTTTGTGCTATTTATCCCCTATCTGGCTCTTTCTCTTATCTTTCATACCACTGCTCTACTTCACCTTATCAGAGAGGGCTTTCCTGATGACCTTATGTAAAGGGTGATCAAGGAAGCCAGGCCATTGAACTCTATGTGAATCTCTTATGTGTGTGGGTGTTTAGGTGCATAGCAGGTAGTGTTCCTATAGAATGGAAGCTCCATGGTGCAGGAACCTGGTGTTCTCCATTGCTGTAGCTCCAGAACCTGGGACAGCAGCAGTCATAATTGTGCTTAATAATTATTTCCTGAATGAATAAGTAAATTAATAACTATTTTCATAATCTCAAGAGTCTCGTTCTATCTTTATTAGTAATAATATCCATTGATAAAAATATAAGAATAATATTTTACTTGTCTACTTCATGGACATTCATGAAAATATAAGATGATATACTATTATGTAAATATTTTAAAATCTGAAGTAACATACAATTCAAAGGTGGGAAAATTGCATTACTGGGTATATTATAAATACTTAAAAGGTACTTGACTCTAAATCACACCTTTCAATTATGAGAGAATTTATATTTCATTACTTTCTCCTCTGGTATATTTCTCTTCTTTTTTTTTCTTTTGTAAATCTTATTTTTTGCTTAAACTCAGGAAACAAAATCTATTTTCAAATTTTTCTTGTTAGATAGTATCTCCTAGTTAAGAAATCTCTTCTCAGAGATTCTAAACTTTTTATTCATCTTTTCATGGCTTGCAGTGCATTTTCTTAAATGCTTGACTTCTTTCACCAGGCAAGTAATAATTAAAGGGATTTTGCAATTTTGTCTTTTTTAGTTCTACTGTCTAGGACATAGTAGGTGTCCAAAGCATAACAGATAATGCATGTGTACACAGATAATGCATGTGTACAATGGACAAATATATACAATGTGTACAATATGATATTATAATATATATAAATGTGATATATATAACTCTATCACATTTAGACCAACCTATTAGCTCTTCCCTTACTCAACATTCTCCATTTGTGTTTTGCTACAAAAACAAATTGCATTTTTTATACTATGGGAATATCTGAGCATTCCCCCTTTTTATATTAGCCCTCCAAATCTGGTGCCTTAAAAATGAGTCAGTAAAGACAGGTGAGGACTCTAATCTTTAATGCATACTTGGGCTTAAGAACCTTCAGCATTAGATGATTTCTAGCTATGAACATAGCACTTTAAGCAGAACCCTCTCCTACAATCAAATAAAGAAAGTGGAGCCAACATCATTGTCAATCCTCATGACCTTAAGTAAGTCAGTGTTTATGACACACAGGGCAGTGAATTGGAGATACACTTTATCCCTGACCAAACAGTTTATATATTGGTTATCCCAACTATAAGTCTTTTGAAGCTAGGGCAAACATGCCCGCTCTCTGCTCTTCCTACTCCCCAGAAAGCAAGCATATAATGATTATGATGCTTCACCTCATAACGACTGCCATTTTCATCCTTTAAATTTCATCAAATTCTCAAATTTCCTTAAGTTTCTGGAGAAATAGTCAACTGTGACAAACTATCATTTGCATTTTCTTACTGAATAATTGATCACTGGTTTCTTTGCTGAAAAATAGTTTCTATTACACATTCATGAAATTGGTATTTAAAATGTAGATAACAAAATACCAAAAGAGCATATATTATGTTGTTGTATGTTAGACAATTATGAATGTCACTGGCAATAAAAATGATAGCAAAATAGGTTTAATACTCGGGACAATTCAGAATACACCAATATCCATATATTATTGTTTTCATTGTTTTTATTTTTAGTATTTAAATTAATTTTGGGAGCCCTAGCCGGTTTGGCTCAGTGGATAGAGCATCGGCCTGTGGACTCAAGGGTCCCAGGTTCGATTCCGATCAAGGGCATGTACCTTGGTTGCGGGCACATCCCCAGTGGGGGGTGCGCAGGAGGCAGCTGATTGATGTTTCTCTCTCATGGATGTTTCTAACTCGCTATCCCTCTCCCTTCCTCTCTGTAAAATATCAATAAAATATATATTAAAAAAATTAATCTTATGAGAGTCCATTATTGGCTATAAAAATCAAGGTTTTTGACCCAATTTCATTTTGCATGTTGCCTAAGAATAAGCAACTGATATTAATATAGATAATAGATATACGATATATACTTACACCTACATGTATATGATTCAACTAAGCAAAAGTTTAATCTATTTACACATTTTATTTATTTATTCAGCAAATATTTATTGAACTTTTCTTTTAACAAGACTTTATATTAGGCAATTGGTTTACAATGGAGAACAACAACAAAAAATGAATATCCTGCCTCTTCTTGTGAACTCAGTAAAAAAAATCACAGAAATAATTGTGTATTACTCAAAAATTACACTTGACTTTAAAATAAATTTTATTGGGGGAAGTGATTTTGTTAGGATGGTTAGAGGAGGTGTCTTCTTAAGTAGGTGATTTAAGGTAAGGTTTGTAAAATGAGCAACCTTTACATTAGAAAGTACTTGGGGGACTTCTCTTCAGAAGAAATGGTTCATATAAAGGCCTCATGAGTACGAGAGTTCATGTGTCTAGAATGAAGAACACAATTGAAAGCATGGTAGGGCACAAAGCTGAAAATACTTTCAATGTAATTCCTTGTAGACTCTTTAAGAATGTTGGTTTTTTTCTGTAGAATAAAAGGATAGACAAAAATTGTTTCAGTTGTGAGAGTGAAGCATGAGGGTGATTTGGGTAGTGATCAAATCTATATCTCAACAAGGTCATTGAGCCAGCCTGCAGTGTGAAGAACAGATTGGCAGGTGCGTTAGGGGTTGAGCGTGTACCAGTTAAGGAAAAACTGCAGTACCTGTGGTTTAATGCTGGACGGTGTTTGTAAACTGTAGAAAAATAACGTGAGATCTTTGAAAGTAAAATTAAAGGTGTGGTGATGAATATATGCAGGTAAGGTTGAGAAAGAATTTAAGAATAGATTTGATTTTAATAGCTGGATGGATAACTCTGTCTTTGATTCCTATGATAAGAAGGCATAAGACTGAATAGAAAAGAGATGTGTTCAGTTTGTACCTGTGGAGTGTGCAATTACTTTTATAGATTTAGGAGGAAATGCCAAGCATGAGTGTAGATGTTTCAGAAATCAGGCAAGCAAGTTGGTTGGGCCTATACATTTGGAGGTCTCAGTGTATGGGTGGTAATTGAACCCATAGATATGGATGAGAACTAGGAAGAGAATTTAAAATAAAAGATGACTGTAAAGAACAAAACAAATAAAACAAACCAACACTCCTCTTTGCAAAAAAGTAGTGATGGAGTTAATAGTAAAATGGGTTCAGACATATGTGGATGATCTCCTTGGGTTTGCTTCTGAAATGTCCAGTATGAGACCATGTCGTAGAGACATTTGGAACTTTTTCTATCGTGATCATTTAGATTCCAGATTCATTTGTGCCACAAACTAGAACTGTGGGCTAGGTTATATCTAACAGAGGAAGTGCTCATATGAATATCTCCATAGAACCAATTTTATTGGGCAATCTGAGCACTGTTAATGGTTTCTATTTTCTTTCTTTCATGTGCACGAAAGTTTACTTATATGAATGATCCCAAAAATGAATGATTGTTATTCTGAAACTTATATCCTGTAATAAACAGAAGCAATATTTTCATAAATATGCCATAAAAATGCTGTCATAAATATTTCCATGGAAAAGACTCAGTTAAACATGTAAAGTCTTAAAATTATATTTCTAAAATAACTTTGGAAAGGTATTGCATTACAAATGGGTGAACTGGATGTGCACAATGGACAAAATGTGGCATAAAGAAACCACCTATACTATACCTGCTTGGAGAGCCACGTATCTGATGTCATCTCGTATTTCTGAAACAAAATTATTAACTTTATGAAGCATCTAAAGAACAAAATGAGCATACATCAATTTAACAACCTTTACAGTGTTATTTCAGGCATTTTTTTTCTCTCTTTCACATGGTGAAATACCAGGAATTAAACTGAATAAATAATTATGAAATTGGGATTAAATGATCATTTAATTATAAAGTCTTTTCTTTAGAGAACTCCTTCAAATCCTCAGTAGTATACTACTAGGGTAATAGATCATTTTCCAGTTCTCTTCCCTTACCTCACTCAAGCTGTTTTGAACCACTAGACACTGTCTCTTTTCACCTCTAGGCATCATCCGGAAAGAAAATTATTAAGTCCTTCAAAAGAACTGGGCAAGTAGCCAGGAATAAAATTAAAAGGTAGACATTCTTTCAATATTCAATCACCTCTTTACCATATTCATACACATTTGTAATGACAAAAATGTTATGTTTTTTTAAAATAATCTTGCAAACGATAAAAACCAAAATCATATTTCAAAAAGAGAAATTAGATTAAATTAATCTCAAGATAACTATAGGTAAAAAAGTTCAGTATCACTGTTTACAGGTAGTAAATTATTAAATATATTGTAGTTTTCTGGAAAATATTCTATAAGAAAAGTATGAAGGAAAGAAAGATTCATTTATAAAATGTCAATTCAAAATTTTCTTCCTCTTGATTTCTCCTTATTTGAACCTCAGCAATAACCCGTCTTTACATTTAAAAAAACACACAGAATAAAACATCAATTTTCACTGCCTATTAATATCACTGTTTTATTAGAATCCATGAGATTCCAAAATTTCACATACAATTACTTATTTCATTTATAGTATAAAGTAAAATATTTTAATTCTATAAATGGAATTAAATACAGTAGGATATCAATAAGGTATCAAATCCATAATATGATAAGGTTCCCATGTCTATTTCTTTATTGAAGCATTTTAACATATATTTGTTATTACCTGTATAAATTATCATCCAATAGAAAAGATGATAAGCTGGCTCCAACTAGAGTACATGCATTCCAATGATTTTTATTATTTTTAGCTAATTTTACAATTTATTTTATATTTTTAAATTTTAAACATATACAAAATTAAAGACCAGGGCATAATAATCTCCCATAGACCCTTAACCCAGCTTCAAAAGTTATCAAAAATACACCATCTTTTTATTTCATCAACCTCCCATACTTTATCATTAAATTATCTTAAAATAAGTCTCAAATATCATATCATTTTACCTGTAAATTCATCATTCATTTCTAATACATATCTTTAAATAGCAACAAGTTAATATTTAATAAGTTAATAAGTAAGTTAATATTTATTAACTTACCAAAATTAATAAATATTCAATAATATAGTCTAATATCCAGTCAATGCTCAATTTTCCTTGATCTCAAGAAATGTCTTCTTTTTTTACATTAAATTATTTATTTATTTTTATTTTATTTTTTAAATTAATTAATTTTTTAATCTTTATGGTTGAAAGTATTATATAGCTTCTCCTTTTTCCCCTATTAACCACTTCCAGCCAACTTCTGTCTCCCCACACTGAGGACCTCACAACCCCATTGTCTGTGTCCATGGTTTATGAATATAAGCATACAAGTTCATTGGTTGATCTCTTCCCACCCACCCTCCCCTGCCTTCCCTCTGAGATTCAACAGTATTTTCATGCTTCTATATCTCTGGGTCTATTTTTCATCATCAGTTTATTTGGTTCATTAGATTCCACATATGAGTGAGATCATGTGATACTTATCTTTCTCTGACTGGCTTATTATGCTCAGCATAATACTCTATAGGCCATCTATACTGTTGTAAATGGTAAGAGTTCTTTCTTTTTTATTGCCACATAGTATTCCATTGTGTAAATGTAGCATAGTTTTTTAATCCACTCAGTTGCTGATGGGCACTTAAGCTGTTTCCAATTCTTAGCTATTGTAAATTGTGCTGCTATGGATATAGGGGTGCATATACACACCGAGAGGAGACTCCATATATGAATGGGACAATGACATTCAAGACCCTACAGCATCAGGAGAACTCAAATATCTTATGTAGGTGGCCTCTGTAGAACACCCAGACCAGGAGACCTGAGAGCATGCACCACTGGGTCCCACAAAACATCTACTACATAAGACCAACCCCAAAAATCTGGGTGGCATAGCAGTTTGATCTAATACATAGAAACTATTACAAAGGAACAGAAAAAATGGGGAGATAAAGAAACAATCCCCAAAGATTGGGTGGAGGGGGGAGGAATCACCAGAAAAGAAACTAAAGGAAATGGAGGCAAGTAATTTGTCAGAGAAACAATTCAGAATAATGGTTATAAGTATGTTCAAATTTCTGTATCAGAAATACAGACAACTCAATGAGAATTATAAGGAGCTCAATGAGAAATTCACCAACATGAGTAAGAATCAAGTGGAAATGAAGAATAATACAGCTGTAATAAAGAACACAATGGAAGGTTTTAACAGTATACTAGAAGAAGTTGAACACTGAATCAGAGAGTTAGAAAACAAGGTAGAAAAACACACAAGCAGAGATGCCACTGGAAAAAAATTAAAAAGCAGGAGGAGAGTCTAAGGGAGCTTTGGGACATCATGAAAGGAAACAACATCCGCATAATAGGGGATCCAGAAGGAGAGGAAGCTGAGCAAGGTATAGAAAACTTGTTTGAAGAAATAATGACAGAAAACTTCCCTGACTTTGGTAAGAAAAAAATCAAACAAGTCCAAAATGCACAGAGAGTCCCAATCAAGATGAACCCAAAAAGACGACACCAAGACACATCATAATTAAACTGGCAAAAATAAAAGACAAAGAAAGAATCTTAAAGGCTGCAAAAGAGAGATAGAAAGTTACCTACAAGGGATCTCCCATTAGACTATCAACTGATTTCTCAACAGAAGCACATCAGGCCAGAAGGGAATGAAATGAATTATACAAAATGATGAAAATCAAGGGACTGAATCTAAGAATACTTTATCCAGCAAGTCTATCATTCAAAATTGAAGGGGAAATCAGGAGCTTCACAGACAAAAAAGGGCTAAGGGAGTTTATTACCACCAAACCAGCAATTCAAGAAATGCTAAAGTGATTGTTCTGTTTTTCATTTTTAAATTACAGTTGACATATAATGCAGTTTCTTTCTTTGATTCTTTTCTCTATGGTATATCTTGTACTTGCACAGAGAAGCAATGAACTAAAGACTTAAGAGGTCCTTTACATAGACAGCTAGAATTCTTCTCTATATAGCTCCAAATTCTGTTACTTATCTGCCAAATTTCAGCCACAATAGCCTCATACTCTGATTCTTCCTGTCTACTTGAAGCAGGGATACCACTGTGCCTTTCTTGGGTACCATCTCCATTACACTGTGGTCTTTATTTTCTAATCCTCCTGATGTCCAACACCTGAAAATAGATTTTTAATATTTTTGTACAGTTTTATATTTGTTTACATGTCCAACACCTGAAAATAGATTTTTAATATTTTTGTACAGTTTTATATTTGTTTACATCAGAGATGCTAGCCTGATAACATTTACTCCATCTTGTCCAAAGACAGAAATTCAAAAATTCTGTCATTATATAATTGGAAATCCTTTACCAAGTACAAGTATATAACAATTTAAATGGATTACAGTATTTCCTCCACTAAAACCCTTAAAATTACACATACAAAATTTACTACACTTAATAAAAACTGATTACAGAAATCTAAATACAACCTGATTTCAAAACACAGTAGTTCCAAACTATTTTTTTTTTACTATCTTTACTTAACTTAAGGAAAGAGATACTGTATGTTATTTTAGAAAAAGAATCTAAACTATAAATAATTGAATTTTGAAATATGTTTAAAGAAAACATAAAAGAAACATTCTATATTCTCAAATTAATCAAAGTCAAAATATTAAAAGACTTCCCAAATTTGAGAATGACATTATCATGGCTTTGGCTACCCTTTATACTACATAATAATCCTTAAAAAAAAAAACTTTATTGTTGAAAGTATTACATATGCCCCTCCCCCCACCCCCCATTGACTTCTTTTAACCTACTCCGCCCCCTGCCCCAGGCCTTCACCACCCTATTGTCTGTGTCCATGGGTTATGCATATATGATACAAGTTCTTTGGTTGACCTATTCCTAGCCCCCTACCCCCATCTTCCTTGGTACATCTTCACAATGGAATACTATGCAGCTGTAAAAAAGTAAAATAAAAATAAACTACATCATTTTAAGCATACAAGAAAAGTAAATTATACTCACTCTACTACAAGCACCAGTTGTGGTCTCACAGACTGTGAGGATGGAAATGTTCTGAGGTCGGTTTAACCATCTGACCACTGTCTTGGTATTGCTTACCCATTTAACCATTGTGATATAATATTCTCTAGTTGGAAACAAAATTAAAATTTACATTTAGAGCCAGAGAACTTCTATAGTACCAATAATATAAATTGTTATATGTAAGAATAAATTAAACACTATAGATATAAGAATATAACATCATAAGATTTCTATTTATGTATATAAACACATCACTTTTTCAAATATTAACGTATATAAATACAAATACATGCCTATGTATGTATATGTATGTATATATCTACATGTGTGCAAACACATGTGAATATACTAATATATACATGCATCTAAAATATACAGAAAATTTGAGAAAATTAAAAGTGAACGTTTTCCCAGAAAGGAAATCCTTGAAAAGATAAAAATAATCAAAATACTAGACATTTGTAAATAATTTTATCCTCTACTTATAAGTAATAATCTATGTGCAAACTAAGTATACTTTTTCTAAGCTACATTCTATTTTATATTTTTAAATATAATCAATAATAAATTTAAAAGCAAAGCTTATTCTTGACAATTATTATTTATGCATGGCCTCCACGTTATTTCACTCTATGCAGAACTATGAATGGTTTGTTTTAGTGTTTGTCAGCTATGGGCAAAGGGCCAGTCTCAGTCTTATTCATAGTATTGTCTACAATATTTTTTCACTCGTATTTATTTAAAACTGAAGGAAAATAGGGGGTTATTGAATATTTGCTACACTGAGTATACTAATTTGGGAGGCCCATGATGTCCTCAGGCTAGTTGTAGATTGGGAGTTTATATTTTTTCTTTATATTTCTTTCACTGTAGATTCTGTTTGGAAATTTACATAGTATATTACACAATTCCCAAGCCAAACAGAAAATAATGCAATTACCAAAATTGATCTATTAATAACAACAACAAAAAAAGCAACAACTTTCCAACCAATGTGCCCAGTTTCAGAATAGATGAGATACTTTAGCAATGGCTTGAAAAGTGCCATCTGTGAGTATGATCCTCAAATTAACCACCTGGTTTTAATGTGAGTTGGGGGAAAAAATCACCTGTGGGAGAAAAGCCTTGTGAGACAAATCACCTGTCCTTATACACATCTGGGTTAGACATTCAGCTACATGAATCTTACACTTCCAACATTACTGAGTACCTACTGCTTCCTCTAGCAAACCTGCTAGCCCATCAAAGTGAAGATGTCAGTAGTAGGGCAAGCATAACTTATCATACAGTGAAGCCTGCAATATTTTCTTCAACAATCTCTTCAAGACATTCGGCAGCTTTCACAACCCAGCTGAGTCCTACTTGAAAATTGCCTAGGAACTCAGTCCAATCGTTGTGGCAAGTTCCCCAAACAGAGCTAACAAGACCAGGCAATCTCAAATCAAATATGCAATGGTTTAGGATTCATCTTTGCCCAAATCAGTGTGTGTTGCAGTTCTTCAAAGAATTATGTCCTGTTCATTTTTACTTTGTTTTGTTTAAAGTGATTTATTTTGCATGTTATTATACATGGCAGTGTAAATACTAAAAAAGGGAAAACATAAGTATTAAACTTTACAAGATTTATCTAGAAGATTTAACATGGAGAAAATGATGGTGGTTACAATAATCAATCAGGAAAGGAAATACTGAATTCTGACAATGTATATGTATGATTAATTAGCATACATGTTCTTTGAATTAAAGAAAAAATAATATAATGATTGTAAACAATTTACCAAAGACCACACAATCAAGGTCACATTTATGAAAAACATATAAATAAAACTGCTTTACAGAATATAAGTTAAAATAACATAAAACGTTTTTAAAATAAATAACATCAGCAACAAAACAATTTAAATATTCTTCTTGAGTGTTTTCCCTTTTAAAGTAGCCCTCAAGTTATGGAGTGACAGGGCAAAATAACACTGTCACATTACTGGTATAAGCTGAGAACAATGCGTCACAAAAATGGGATAACTAAAAAAATATTTCAAATAAGTACAATAATGTCACAGACACAGAGTAAGGAGAAACCAAAACCAAACCACTACCTCTACTCTTCAGCCTATAAATTTCTGAACATAAATGACAATCACTTTTCCCCCAAAGATGTGACAAATACATAGCATGTGGAAAAATCTATATGATTCATTATCATAAAAATATATCTACAATAACTTAATTATTTAAAATCCATACCTGTAAATCCCAATAAAGATACTAAATGCTTGCAATACCTTAAGCCAGGGGTCCTCAAACTACGGCCCGTGGGCCACATGCAAATACAAATATTGTATTTGTTCCTGTTTTGTTTTTTTACTTCAAAATAAGATATGTGCAGTGTGCATAGGAGTGTGTTCATAGTTTTTTTTAAAACTATAGTCCGGCCCTCCAACGGTCTGAGGGACAGTGAACTGGCCCCCTGTTTAAAAAGTTTGAGGACCCCTGCCTTAAGCTCATAGTGTAACAGTTTACAAAATGTTTCTTCTTCTTCAGATGAGATGAATTGTCTAACTTCCACTGGGCCTTAAGATATTCAAGAAGGGTCATTATCTTAGTTCCTACCATGCTATATTCTGAAGAATCAACGCAGGCCATAATTCAAATACTAATAAAGATAAGAGTCTGGCTCAGCTGACGTGGCTCAGTGGTTGAGTGTTAACCTATGAACCAGGAGGTCACAGTTCGACTCCTGGTGAGGGCACATGCCTGAGTTGTGGGCTCGATCCCAGTAGGGGATGTGCAGGAGGCAGCTTGTCATGACTCTCTCATCATTGATGTTTCTATCTCTCCCTCTCTTTTCCTCTCTGAAATCAATAAAAATATATTTTTTAAAAAGTATAAGAGTCTGGACAGAATTAGTATTAAAGAAAAGTTGCATTCAGGATCTGAATTTGTTTGATAAAGGGTCTTTAGCTGATTCACTGATATATATTTTTAAATGATGGGAGTATGGGGAAAGGAATTGGAAAGATAAATTATGCCTTTCTCCAATAAACGTATCCTTATATTTTCTTTATAGAACATATAAATGAATTGAAATTTATTTTGCATTCTTTGACACCCAGTGGTTCTCAGCCTTCTGGCCCTTTAAATATAGTTCCTCATGTTGTGACCCAACCATAAAATTATTTTCGTTGCTACTTCATAACTGTAATGTTGCTACTGTTATGAATCGTAATGTAAATATCTGATATGCAGGATGGTCTTAGGCAACCCCTGTGAAAGGGTCATTTGACCGCCAAAGGGGTAGCGACCCACAGGTTGAGAACCACTGCACTAGAGCATAAGTTTCTGGTTGAAGAGAAGTTCTATCCAATGATAAGACTAGCTTGGGGATTTTTCTATTGTAATTGTAAACATTAGTTATTATAACTAATTAAATCAACCAAACAAACAACCAGAGGACCAAAACAGATGGCCTAATACCTTCAAATTAAAAGCAAATCTTGCTCTTTGGGTGGGGATTAGAGGATACAGTTTACAAGGTAGTTCAAGTCATGAGAACATCTTTCTATATTCATCTTATTAATCATCCTCCCTATATAGGTACATATGTATTTAATTATTATTATTATCATCATAGTCGATTTTTCTTAGAAATAAAAAGGTTATAGAGATGGTCATATATGAAATTCAAGTATAGTAGAAAAAAAGAATCACACTAATAGGTTCACTTATTGATTGGCAATTTGACAGGTCGTGTGAAAATAAAATAAAAATATACTGTAGATGCTTAGATTGCATGCCAAAAAGAGTAAATATATAAATGATTATAAGTGAATTAATTATTTAGGTATTCTATTATTGTAAGTTTAAGCAGCATCTCAAATGCTATTGGTAGCTATGAACATAATACAAACTCCAGTAAGAAGAGTGGGCATTTGATGGCCTTAATAGGGCATAGGAAAAGTATATTGCTAATCAATTATGTTATGCATGTTTATCCTTTTACATTGTAAAAATAACAATGGTTTGGTATTGCTTGGGACATATAGAATACTGCCACTAATAAATATGGAAATATTGTTACTAGTACTGTTATAAAACATAATATATTTAAAATATGTAAAGAATTTGAGCTAGCATATAAAAATTTAAGACTAACATGGTAAAGAAAATACAAAAGAAAGGTAAGGGAAATAAGTTACAGGGGGAAGCAAGTTTTACCACAGGTAAACTTCATGTCCAAAATACACTAATGCAAACAATGAAAACATGATCAGTGCCATGATTTACAATCCACTTAAGAAAAATATGTCCGGTTTTCTTGAGAACACAAGTACTACTCAGATAAATCATAGATGTACTAGTGTATATATAGAGAAAGAGAAACTGAAGACACACACACACACACACACACACACACACACACACAGACAGGGAACTACAGAGAGACAAGACAGAAACAAAAACAGAGAAAGAACACTTCTCACATTGCTTCAGAAAAATCACTGTGCTCTTGTGGACATCGCCAATATATCCCTAAAGTAATAACAACGATACATTTCTTAAGGTAAATATTATCCTTAAGTTATTTGTGTCCAATATTCTCCATTTGCTAGATCCATTCTCCAACTCTTCCCCCCACCATTTCCAGAAGCTGGACTCTGCAGTGAAGCTGCCTTGACAACAGGAGTCCTCTGCAGGAACTCAACGCTTGGGAAGAGAGCGGGGTATTTATCTCCAGGACCCACTCCCTGCCAGGGCGCGGCTTGGCAATGACTGGACTTTTCCACCTGTGGACAGGCCCTACTGGATGGCCCATTTGTTCTTAACTTAAAGCCTCTTCAGGTTTCATCAGTGAGCCTGCCCCTTACTCCGGAAGTCCTGGGCCAGTAATACGTTTCTGCTGATGCAGACTGGATGTTGATTTCCCATCCTTTGTGAATTTCCCCTTAATCCTGTCTATATATTTGTTAATTGTCCTTTAATTACCTACATTTCATTACCCTTCTTGAGTGTGTTACCTTTTTAATTACTAGGACCCTGATCAATGAATTATGAAAGATGATATGCTCTTTTAGATGTCAAGTATTTAACTAGGGAAGGTTTTCGGGAATTTTCCCTATGGGTATGGTGCTAAGATTAAATATCAGAGATATTGATAACCCTAAAACAAAATCAAGAAAACTAAGAGTTTAGTTTCCATTTAAGGTGCATCTAAATGAATGTAGCTTTCTTTTACTCACACCATGGATCTCTCTCTCTCTCTCTCTCTCTCTCTCTCTCTCTCTCTCTCTTTTTTGCATGTTTGTGTATCTTTGGGTCCATTCGAGTAATATGCAGCCCTACAGTGTCTAAATGCAGATGTCATAAATTATCTTGATTCCCCCTTTCCCCCCCTGTGAATTGGACTAAAGCTTTCACCAAGAACAAATGAGTAAGAAACTACATTTTTGTTAAACTGGAGCATGAGAAAATACCAGTTTTTAAGTAAATGTTGATCTGGAGTTTTACAGCAAGAAGAGTAAATCATACACTTTGGTGCATTTCAGATGCCACAGTTGGCACTTACATAAGACCAAGAGGCATAAGAAGCAAAACTGTTATGTACATTTGTCGATGAGGTATTACATGCCTCTCTCCAAATTATAGACCAACACATGGCTAAACCAAATATCTGAATTACATTTAAATTCTTTTTCTTCACAGGATTTTTCTCACCCTCAGTGGGATAAAGCATTTTTTTTTGTACTGGCTTTCCAACAGCTAAGGTTATGTGATATCTCTGTGCAAGGAGTGACTAATTTTATCACATTGTTCCTCACATGTTAAAGAGATGAACACTTCATTAATACTCCAATAAATGACAATGTTTCTGTCTTTAGGAATATTTGTGTTTGATGATAGTCATTGAACTCATTGTGCTGCTGGTGGAGTTAGGGCTCTTCTGCGGAGTCATGAGAAAAGCATTTCAGGAACGATGCAGAGGAGGATGAGTTGTAGTAAGAAGATTTATTGGAGCAAAAATAAAGAATTGTCCCCAGGTGCCTGATGTCTTAACCATGACCAGATGACAGAGCCCCCTGGGAGACTGGAAGCCGGTCTTGCTGGGGGGTGGGGGGTGAGAAGGCCAGCTTTTGGGGCCTCAAGCCCGCACTTGTCCTCACCAAGCCCAGAAGGACCAGGGTCCAGAAATTCTGTGTCATTGGTCCTGCATGGACAGGGCACCCAAAGCTCTCGCAGTTCAGTTCATTCCATGCCAAATCTTAGTCCAGTTCAGTCTCTGTCCTGTCCAGCCAGCTAGTTTCTGTTCCTGGCTGCACTCCAGCCAGCACTGTGCTGCCGCACCAGACCCACACTCATGGGCGTGCAGCTGCCAGGCCCACATGGCTGCACAGAGAGTGTGAGAAGGAAGGGAACCTGGAATGTGTGCTACTGACCAGGAGGGGACTTTGTTAAGCTTTGATCATATTATCTCCAACCTGGGAAAGAGCAGGTTTTCTTTCAAACTAACCAATCTGTTTCCTGTCTCCCTGCAGCCTTGTGCTGGGCCCTCACCCTATCCAATCCCTTTCCTAGAAATTCCAGGTTCCATGCCCTCATCCAATCCGATCCTTTTCCCAGGCTATCCTCCTCCCCGTCATGGTCACTGTCCTGGCTCCCACTCACTGCACATGCCTCAGAGTAGAAGGACCTCCCCTGTGCCATCTTGTCTTCCACTGCACGTGCCTCAGCAGAGGAATTTCCCTCTATCATTAGCTCTCCCCGCCTAAAGTCCAGTTAAGTGGACAGGTAAGTCCCCTGGGGAGACTGGAAGCCTCCTTACACTGGGATGGGGGTGGGATATGTAGGGATGTTAAGCCCCTTGGCAGGAATTCAGCTATGGCCTGGGGTGTCTGAAGCTGTGAATTCCAGATTTAGTCTTAAGTATAACTTACAGACTCAATCAGGCCCAGCAAGTCCAGCTCCCTTCTCTTTACTAACTCCTAGCTGGCCACACTAATATTTAGAAACTCTTTCAAGTAACAAATTCAAGGTCAGGAACCACTATCTCCTATTAGAAAGGAACCAGGATATTTTTAAATTGACCCATATTTCAAAGACTTAAAACAAAACAAAACAAAACAAAACAAAACAAAACAAAACAAAACAAAACAAAAACCTTGTCCAGCCAATGTCAGAGGTTGAGGGTCGACCTATTAACCAGGAGGTCACAGGTCAATTCCTGGTCAGGGCATATGCCTCGATCTCCATTGTGGAGCATGTAAGAGGAAGCCAATAAATGATCTCATCATTGATATTTCTGCCTCTCTCTTCCTGTCCTTTCCTCTCAGAAATCAATAAAAATATATTTTTTTAAAAACCTGATGAACAATATAAATATTTATATCAAAATTAGGGTAGTCAGACCCAGAGACAGGTAGAGTGAAATTCCCAAGGTCACAACAATAAATGGTGGTAGAGATGTGACTCAAACACTCCAGTGTAGTACCCTTTCCTGTTAATTCAAAGCTTCAAACAAATGAGAGAAAAAGATGTGATGAGGATCACATAAAATCTCAACAGTTTTTATCATTGTTTCATTTGTGACTAAACCTTTCATGACTAGTAGACTGAGCCCAGAAGTAGAAGTTTCTACCTGATTTGGTTAACCCTACTGCATTCTCCAGGTCAGTTCAGATGGCCTTTTAAGGTCTCCCATCATAATCTGGATGCAGTGTTCTGTAACTTGATGAAACTGGCTTCACCTCATTTTCTAACTCTGCTACTAACTAATCCTGAGGGTTTATCTCAAGTTTTTTTTTTAAATCTCTGGGTCTCAGCTTTTCCACTAATATAAGGAGCAGGTTATATAGTAGGTAGTTAATGAGAACCCTTCCAGTGTAAGCATTCCATAATTTTTTATTATCTTTCAAGTAGGAAAATTTTCCATACACAGCAGCTTGTACTTTCTGTGAAAATCCCCAACTCTGATAAAAATTTTTCTGAATATGTCAGTGTGACAACATTTGAGAGGAATATCTTTTGAATCAGTCACTCTGCATTGATTGATTGTTGATGTCATCAAAATAACCCTCAAGCTTAGCCCATATCATTCAAAATAGTGTGAAACTATTTTCCTTAAACAGCTGCTATCTCATCCCATCGTTAGGGCTGCTTTAAATTTTCAAAGAGCTACAGGATTTGAAAGAATCACCCTCGAAGTTGAGTTCACTCTGGATTTCAAAATCCACATGGCTATTTGATTAGTTGTTTCTCAACTGAAGATTTTGCTGCTCCATAAAATGTGTTTCTTTTCTTCCCACTTAAACTTCTTAAGAGGGCTTTTTATGTAGGATATTTAAAAATAAAATCTCATTAAATTTCTCTGCCAGGAAAAGAATGCTAGAGAATCATTGGTAAGCTGTAGGGAGAGAGTTGAAAAGATTGCACAAATTTTAGGGAGATTATACTCTTTTAAAGAGGAAAAACATTAAAAATGGAGTTACTATTTTCAGTAGGAAAAATCAGTGGAAAATGATCCTTTGTTCCCATCTCTCTGTCACATTTGCAAAAGGTCTAATTCTCAGTATCAGTATATTTAGTTATTTTGTGGTGCTAATCACCTGGAAATTTTAAAGTTTTCCTGCGAATAAGATAATCAGAATGACCTCATTCCTGCACTAATGGAGGCAACCTGAACCTTACTTTCAAGTGGACTTGTTGAGCTGATCACATTGCTCTAAATTACAACAAAATGATACTTGGTGTTAACCTATCTATTCCCTGGTAAAAAGTGAAATTGAAATTGCGTACCTTGATTTAAAGATGTCGGGTGGCATGAGTTCCAAAGTATGAGTTGGTCCATATAGGTTTACAACATATAATTTGATTGTTGGGTTCACTTGACCTGCCTTTGAGAAAATGAAAGTTGTAATGCAAATACATTAAGCATTAGACTATATGAGGAAAGAAAGCAAATGCATTTTGACTCTTTTATAATTTGTGTTAGAATGGGGGGGAAAGTTTAATTTCTCTGAAGTAGAAATGATTTTAAATTCAACAACTTGATTGCTTTCAATTGTTTTTGAAGATTGCTGCTTCTCAAACCATTTTAGTCAGACAATTAAAGGTGATAGAAAATCATGATGACTTTATTCATTAGCTAGTGCTACTGTGTTCTTTTCCTAGAATGACACCAGAGGGCTGGCTTTATAAAAACTAGTAGCTCAAGCAGCTAATTATGTTATAGGATATAACATGTAATGAGGAAAAGAGCTTGGCTAGTTAAAAAATAATAATAATAAAACAAGACAGAAAAAAATACCAATCCAGGTGCCACATGCTTAAAATTCCACAATACCTAATTCTATTCCATGCATTAACCATCCTTGACATTTATGAATGTTAGATGGGGTATAAGTGGCCCTTAGGATGTGGGCCATGAGCAGACTGCCCTCACTCAGTACCTGGCATGCAGAGTAGAAAGACAGTAGTAAGAATATGTCATTTAAGTTTCATAATAAACATTTTATTAAATCATAACCAATTGTAAAGCAGTTACTATGTTTCTGGTCAATAATATCTGTTAAACATCACATGAATTATTTCACTAAATGTTCCTACTATAGAATTAAGATATAATTATAACATTTTCCAGATGAAAATGGAGACACTCAGCAAACTGTGCAGGGGGAAATGCCCAGTAAGTGAGGGAAGCAGTATTTAAGCCCAGGATGCTCTTAACGACTGTAGTTTTGCTTTAGTTCATTCTTAGGCAATGGGCATCAAAGTTTTCTAAATATCCAGTGACATTTTAAGGGGTGGATATGGAATCTTTCACCAACAAATCTCAAGCATGTTGAATGAATGAATGAAATGAAATTTATGTGAATAAATGATTAACAGAATCAGTTGACTACTGTGACTCAATTTATTTCAAGTTTGTAAAGAAAAGTGTCTAGCACACCTATGAGAGTGTTTCAAACACAGGCTGGTGCTTTAAGAGAAGAGCATATGAGCTATACAGAGGAGGATAGGGAATTTAAACTGAGTTGAATTCAAAGACCTGACAAAAGTCTAAAGAGAACAATAAAACTGCTTTAAAGATGACAAAGAAATATTCATGCTCAAGGACTTGGCATCTACAAAATCCAGAGTTAAATCAGGACCAGAAACAATATAATACATTCTACCGATAGTTAGCAATAGCTCAAGAACTGTTCTGTTAGGGTCTTAATAATAATTAGCATGGAGGGAAGGGAAGAAAGGTGAATAAGTACAGTCAATAAGAGGATTTGTAGAACAGTGAAAACACTCTGCATGCCACCATGGAGAGGGATACATGTCATTATACATTTGTCTAAAACCACAGAATGTATAATGCCAAAACTGAACCATAAAACCATGGATGCTGCGTCATTATCATGTGTCAGTGATACTTCATCAATGGTACCCAGTGCACAATTCTGGTGGGGGAGGTTGATGATGGGAGAGGCCATAAATGTGTGGGAGCAGAAGGTATATGGCAAGTACTTTCCATCTCCTCAATTTTGTTGACAACCTTAAACTGCTCTAAAAAAATAAAGTCTATAAAGAAAAATGACTAACGTCTGGGTGAGTGTTTCAAACACAGGTCAGAAGTTTGGAGGCAAAGAAACAAGTCAGAAAGGCTGTCACTACAGAAGTGCCGTGACTATTAGGAAACATTCTGGAAATGGTTCCTTGAGTAAAGGGCTTCCTGGAAGATAAGCGGTGAGCCTGCCTCGCACAGAAAGCTCCGGCGTCAGATTTTGTAAAGCTTTTCATTGTTCTAAAGCCCTCCAGGGCCTGGGAATCTTTGTCTCCAGCAATGGAGTGCTTGACCACACCTAGGAGCTCTCTTTCACATCACTTTTGCTTTCATTAAATTGCCATTTTCCACCCTGACAATATTGGCCTTATCCATATATTTTTAGTCTAACCAGTTCTCCAACTTGTAAGTTAAAGCTTTGAGCTGCGACACAGTATTTAGTGGTGCCATTAAAACTGTTGTTCTCTAATCAAGAGTATCAATCAGCATTCTCTGAAACCTTAGAAACACGAATTCATGTGTCCCACCCAGATCCATATTCAGAGCCAGAATCAGAATCTTGGGGTGTGGACCTAAGAATCTATGTTCATCAAGATCCAGATTACTATAATCACTGTGCAAATATTTAAAAAAACTGATAGATAAATATCAATACATAATATCAGTGTTTTATCAAAATTTGCATACTGATTATAGTTATGGCAGTTCATTGTTTATCAAAAGTTAACCTGCTTTTGAATCACCCAGTGAGCCTCAAGGCCCACCTCCATCATTTCTAACCCCTGATGGGAGATGACAAATTTGCATTTCTAAAAATTCCCCAAGGAGGCTGACACCATTGGCAAAAGAACCACATTTTAACTGGTTTAGCTTTATCTGTGAGTCAGAGAATTTTAGGTTCAAATTTTGCTGCATGTGGACCATGGACAGGATGTTAACGATCCTGAAGTATTATATTATTTTATTATAAAAAAAATGAGGCAATTCTCTGTCCTGGCTGGGGGGCTCAGTTGGTTGGAACTTCCTCCCATATACCTAAAGTTTGTGGGTACAATTTCTCGTAAGGACACATACCTAGGTTTTGGGTTCAGTCCCAGATTTGTGTGGGTATAGGAGGCAACCGATAGGTATTTCTCTCTATCTTCCTCTAAAGTCAATAAACATATCCTTGGGTGAGGATTAAAAAAAAAATGAGAGAGAGAGAGAGAGAGAGAGAGAGAGAGAGAGAGAGAGAGAGAAACTCTCTGAACATAATCTGTCACAAGTCAGAAGTTTTGACCCAAAGTAGGTTTTCTTTCTGTAGATAAAAGTATCTCATAGTTTTGTTATATGGACTGACAAAAACATGATTTATAAAAGTACCTACAATAGTATATAGTAATGAATTAAAAATGATAGTTATTATTAAGACACTGACCTCTCTAGTTAGTGAAAAATTGTTTATATTTTTCTTTCAATAAACTGATTTTAAAAAGGGAAGTTGAATTAAATTTGACCTTTCTGTGTGTTCTTATCAATGTTACATAATCTTATGATGTACTTTGTCAAAGACATGTATGGGCCTTACCATCTCTTAAGGCCACAGCACTGTAAGTTATTACTTGAACAGAATCACAAGTATCCCAATTAGCTTCTACACGAAAACAAATTAACAGTTGCATACACATGTGGCCAATTTTAGATAAAAACCAAACATCAGGCTGTTTCCAAAATTCAGCTGTTCAGCATTTTATAATCTTAATTAGATTCTTATCTTTTCTTGGAGTTTTGAAATGAAGTGCACATTGCAAGTTCATCTGTACCTTGGAATATTTGAATTGTCTCAATAGTTTGGAAATTAGAGGAGTTCATCTGTGGGCTTTTACAGTCACATTTGCCACAGAAACTGCAACTCCACAGACTCCTTCCTCTATGATTCTGAAATAAAGCCTCAATAATAATTAACCTTATTTTACTGGCAACTAAATTGCCATTAAACGAGATAATGTTTTAATTAAGAACATTAACCTGAGGTTACTGAGATAGAACTGTGCATCTCTTTTGTGCTGAATTGCTAATGAAGGATATTTTATGAGTCCTGAACCATGCTGAATTAAGTAAAATACAAATATATTTGTTTAGTGTAAGTATTTCATTAGTAAATCTGACTACATGGGGTATTTGATGCACTCATTTTGATCAAGTTTAATTTGAAACACAATTTAGTGTGAACTCTATGCAGTATTTCAATGTCTAAAATACCATTTTTGAAAATTTATTAAATAAGTAAGAGCAAATCAAAATGCATGTATTAGTGAAAAAAGCACACCTTTTTTTAAAAAACCAGAGTAGAAAATAATGAGACCTTGAAAATTCAAGTAATACACCCAACATGACAGTGAAAGTTAGCATGAGAACAAAGACCAAAACCCAGACCTAGGTTCTTTGACTCCTATTGTCTTAAATACCTAGGCAGGAATTTCTACCGTCAACCCTCTGAGGATTTGGGATTCTTTCTCTCAGCTTTGGCCAATACCTGTTTTTCATTTTAATACTCCTACATGATGGTCACTAACACAGACTCAGGACCTTCATCATGTATTACATCCATCATGTCTTACACACAACATGCATTACATATAGAAATATATATGTTTATATATGGCAGGTGTGAGGCTTTCTAAGAATGCTACTCATACAGGGTGGAACAAAAGTAGGTTTGTATAGAAAATACTACAATAATCTATACATATAAAAAGCTAATATGCAAAGGGTCCCCTTGGGAGTTCCACCGTGAGACTGGGAGTTTGATCGCTCGCTATGACTTGTGCTGACCACCAGGGGGCGGCACAGAATGAAGGACAGCCCCAGCCTGTAGCCGGAAGGTCCTGATTGGCCTTGATCACTGGCCAGGCCTAGGGACCCTACCCATGCATGAATTTCATGCACTGGGCCTCTAGTTAATAAATAATAATACAAAAATAAACCGTGTTTTTCGCAGACTCACAACTGTGAACCTACTCTTGCCCCACCCAGTGTAGAGCTAAGCCACTAATAGTAAATGGAGCAAACAGAGCTGCACATATATTTGTTATCTTGACCAGGAGACATTTTTATTCCTGTTACAACTTCTGTGATATGCTAACCTTTAGTAGTTTTATAGAGAGGGACAGAATCGATAAATGTGAGTTATTTCCCTGTTCTTAAAATAACTCTGACTTTCATACAAGGACTTGGCCTTTTAGAAGCAAAGTGTGTTTATTTGTAAAAAGAAGAGGCAATTGTGAGGAAGACCAAAGAGGAAAACAATGAAAAGTCTCTCTGAAAACATAAAGCATGTTATTAGCACACATGAGTCATACAATTAATAAGCAAACATTACTATTATTTTATGCTTAGCTTAACTATTAAGAAATATTTAAAAACTAATTAAATAAAAACTTACTAAATAAGTGTCTAGGTTTGTCAATCAGGATCTGTTGAATTACTGCTGACATATTTAAATTTCCTTAGGTGCTTCTATTTGTTCATTTGTTTGCATCAGTCTTATTAAAATTATGAGGCCTGGGGATGTCCAAGTTCAAGTATCAAAGTCTATAACTAAGAAGGAAACTTGAAGATGCAGCTACTGCTATGGCTCTTATCTGTGAATCCTAAAATCCCCACCGCTTGGGGGAAATGAATTATAAAAAGTTGTCCCTTCCCAGGGCTGATTTTATTCTTTGTTCAGTGCACAATCTGGACAGTTCTGTGCGAAGATCTTATTTACTGACATAAGCATTACACAATGTGCCACCATTTCTTCAATTTGTGTCAGAATTACCAGATGACCTTTCATTACAATAAGTAAATCAAATGGTGTGAGAATTAACAATGTATTGAGAAGTCTTTTCTGTTTTTCTCTGGAAAAAAGCAAGTGCAATATGCTGGGCAGGCACAAACTGTCAACCATAAAACAGGGCTAAATCTGTAATTGGAGAAATTGTGAGTACTTTTCTTGGAGTAGAATAAAAATCTCTGCGAATATGTTTATTTTGTTGTTAGGTCAAATTGCTGTTTTCTCCTGAAGAATACTGAGTGTGTGGGACTTCCAATATATGTCCAGAGGAGACCCTAAAAATAATATTTCAAAATCCTGGGATCTGACTCCTCTCCCCCCCCCCCCATGTCCTCCTTATGTGTCAGTTATTTAACGCCACACCCTGTGGAAGGAAGCCAGGGTGGAGAAAAACAGTACAGAACCTCACTGAGGAAACTCCATGTTTATTCCCGACTCTCCATAAAGCATTTTTTATTTTTTTCCCCCCACCTTGGAAAACTTGAGTCTGGCAGATGATAGCAAAATAAGGACAGTCACCCCAACACTGACCATACTTTCATTGCAGGTGTAAAATAATATGTGTGATAGGTAATTTGTCCAGCACTCTGCCCAGTTAATGTAATGTGCAAATTGAAAAATATAAAATCTATCATGCTAGGAAATACAAAATACAACTCACTAAAGGAATGGATTTAAAAAATGGCCTCCAAATGAAATGAGCAGCCATGTCTTAATCTAATTAAGGGCTAAAATGTGTAAAGTGGAATTTTAAAAGTTTGCTATGAGGTATCTTTACATGATTGATGCATAGAGGGCATCACTTATGAGCCTTTCCCTTTCTTACATAACATGGGGAAAGTAAACTTTAAAAAAGACCTTAAGTAATTAAACATGATATATACTGGAAAACCAGCACACTCCAGGTGTTTTTGCAACCTCCTCGAGAAGCCTCACCTAACATTTGGAAATGGCTTCGCCATCTGCACAGGATTTCCGTATTTGCCTCACTCAATAAAACAATTTTATCCTCGCTACGCCTGGCCATGGCTCTACCCCAGCGTTTTATAAAGTATGTTCCAGAGTTTGCTCTGCCAAAACAGTACTGAAGTTAATGCTAATAAATCCTTTATGCTTAGTCTATTCTTTATTGGTGATTCTTTATGCTTCTGCAGATTCTTTATGCTTAGTCTACTTTTTATAGGAGATTTATAATACGCATTAACATATAGTACATTAAGTGCTCTAAGAAATCATCTTGAGAGAAGCTAGATTTTTTTTCAACTAAGAATTTCCAGTGTAGTTGACGATGGCACTTTTTCCTCCTTTATAACAGCTATTGACCACTCACAGAATATACCTTGCAGAAAGACCCCTTATATCTTCTCAAGTGGGAAGATGAGGGAAAACAAGAATGAGAGCATCAAAGGGAAAGAAATGCAACAAGGTCAAAGTCCCCACATCCCCACATCTTGATCTCCTCCTACCCAAGCGAGGTGGACAGACTACTGAAAACTCTTAAAATGATGCTTCTTTTTTTCTCCAAAGACAACTTGTTCGTCAACCATGAATACTATCAGTGAAGTCACTGGTGCAGAGCGAGGGGAAACAAACTAGCGCGGCCACGTTACTTACCTTAGGATACGGATACTGCCTTCCTTTGGGATACAACGCTCCGGTAAACCGAGGGATGACCATGTTAGGCACCAGTGAATCATTTATCATCAGGAAGGCAAGCCTTTCTCCATCTGGTGACCACCAGTGGGCGATGTGAGAATGCAGAAGTTCTTCTAGAATAAATGAGTGTTATTTGAAACCAACTGTAGAGATGTGGGCTCAGTAACCCACAAACATCTGTCCTTGAAATCTCCATTGCACAGGTACATTTTCTATCCTTGTGTTGGACTTTATCAACTTCATAACGCATTCTCTATTTCTGAGTTAGCCCTTTGATCCCGTGAAAAGCAGATGCAAAGAAAGGAAGGCAGGAAGCAATAAGGTCAGGATGTCGTGGGTTGCCAGCAATGTGAACGGAGACAATGAAAGGACTATCAGAATGAAAAGAATGAGGATGTTTTCAAAGACTGATATATGGCTAAAACCATATTCATGTCACCATTCAGTCATATATGCATGTGGTCATATTTCCATCTTCTCATCATTAAACAAGTTGAATAACTACTAGATTCATTAAACTATTGAAGGCATAAGGAAATGGAATAAGAAATACACTGGCCCTGGCTTGGCATCATCCTGTGCCCCAAAAGGTTGCCAGTTTGATTGCAGTCAGGGCACATGCCTGGTTTGCGGGCTCTATCCCTGATAGGGGCTGTGCAGAGGTCAGCTAATCAATGTTTTGTTCTCACATTGATGTGTCTCTCTCTCCCTCTTCCTTCCTCTCCCTCTAAAAATCAATAGTATATATATTCATATAATATGAATAAGAAATATACTGGATATCTTTTGTGTGACTCCAGATTCACTATCTTCTTTTCTATATCTGTTTTCTGGCCCAGAAAATTAAGCTGTATGAAGCACATCAATGGGATTCCCATGCCCTCTAGAATATGGCCATTAGGGTTCTTGAGTAAGAGCTCAGAGGAGCAGAAAGTCAGAGTATTTACTCCTTTAGCTCTGTCTGGATATGTCACCTTAGGCTTGCTGTGTGTTTTAAATGATCTCACTCCTCTTGTCAATGCAGCCGCCTCTCCACAGTTTTCTGCTTTTGTACTTGGTAATGGTTCATATTTATAGTCATAGGCTGCTGCTAGTTAAATTGTGGCTCCGTCCTTTATATCCCCCTACACTTTCACTCTGTAAACGGTCTCTTTGTACATAAATCCTCTTCAAATTATTGAAAGTGCCACCTCTTGTCTCTTGGGACCCTGACTGATGCAGTAATTAATAGCAGCAGTAGACTCAGGAAAGAGATCTTCAAAATTAGATTTTGAGATTAGGTTGGAGATATATCCACCTCTATAACTATATGTATATCTTTGATTTAATAATACCATTTCCAGGGAGAATTGTAGCATAGATAATCCATAGTAAGGAACGGAAGCATGAGTAATCAATTGTCACTGGTAATGATGTGGAGTGAAGTGCAAATAGAGAGGAAAGGCATTGGGAGGACAAAAGGTTGTGACTTAGTTGCTACAGCAGTGGCTATTGTAAAGGTTGTAAAGTTTCCCTGGTTCTTATGACATCTGAGAGTCATTACATAGAAAAAAACAAAAACTAAATCCATGACTGCAAAATTGGGAATACACAAAAGGTCACTATGGCATATTTGAAGGAGCCCCTCTCTTTTGTAGTTGCAGGGCAGATATGGCTGAGGTCCAAGAGATCATATTAATGTTGCCGGTGAAAATGGATTCTTTTGTAATGTCTTGAGAAAAGAATTTCAAAGAGCATATGCATGGAGGACGTTTACCAGTAAATGTAGTGGTAAGATTTATTGGAATGAAGGGGAAATACTGGGGATGGAGAGGGTATGAAGGCTCTAGCAGCAGATGCCTCAGGTTCCTGATAATTCTCCATATATTTCCGTGGTTCTCAGTAAGTAGCAAGCTGTCATTCAAAACCAAAACCATCCAACCTAGCTCCTGATTTTCGTCCCTCCCCCTAACCAATCTATTTCCTAGACCTTTTGGGGTTCTGTGCCCTCATCCAACCCAATCCCTTTCTCCGGCTAGGCTTCACCCCCTCTTGTTGCCATTTTGGCATCTACTGGCATGCCTCAAAGTAGAAGTACCCCCTTCTGCATCATCTTGTCTACTACTGGGCAAGTGCTCAGCTAAAAAATTTCCTCTTCTACCACCTCCCATAATCCTGGTTCCCTGCCAGTTGGTACTGGGAAGATTGCACCCTGAGGAGACTCTTCCTGCCTGCTTCAAGGATTAAATACCTTCCTTGGAGAATACGGTGATCACTTAGAGTGTGTGAATGAGTCTGTGAATGCTACAGCTTCCTGGTAAATCAAGTTTAATGGAGTGCTGTAATTTCCTAGAGAAGCAAGCCCAATATCTGATTCAACTTCCCAGTTTATCAAGTTTAATATCTAGTTCTACTCGCTCCCTTCTGTTATTAATACTAACTACCTACCTATGCCAACAGTAAGGGTTGAAAAACGCAACTCAAATCAGGGGCTCAAACGCACTTGTGTTTTATTTTATTTTTTTAATATATTTTATTGATTTTTTACAGAGAGGAAGGGAGAGGGATAGAGAGTTAGAAACACTGATGAGAGAGAAACATCGATCAGCTGCCTCCTGCACACTCCCTATTGGGGATGTGCCCGCAACCAAGGTACATGCCCTTGACCAGAATCGAACCTGGGACCCTTGGGTCCACAGGCCGATGCTCTACCCACTGAGCCAAACCGGTTAGGGCTGCACTTGTGTTTTAAAGTTAAGATAGAGATAATGGTAGAGAAGTGCTAGGCCCCTGGCACATAGGATAAGAATTTTTGTATAAACATGTGCAGTACACTTGTGCTTTAGGAACCAGTCTCAGAAAGAACAGATTTCATAGTGGAATGCTGCTATATGTATCTAATTTTATGGCTGAAGATTTTGAACCTCAAATTCCCACAAGTCTGTTAACAGAGGCAACCTCTATCTATAAAGGCATAAAGGTGCAGTGGAAGAGGAATCCCTGTAAAGTTTAAGCGTCTGCATCCTTAGGGAATAGTAGGAGATCTAGTAGCCTGGGGTATATTGGTCTATCTCTTCTACGGTGAGAGAAAATTGGTTGAAATTGTACAAAAGTAAAGAGGGACTGGACTCTGGATTTTGAAGAAAATATGAACTATCTTCACATGTGCTGCCTTGTTCTATTTCCCAGGTAAACTGTAAAGGTGCCAGTTCTGAGTAGGACTTGAGCAAGTGAGAGCTATGCAGCAGATCAAGGCCACGGCACAACCTTCCCTACCATCTTTACCTTGTGGCCCAGCAGGCAAATTGGCAATACAAGTATCCATGGCGAATGGAGATGCTGTGGAGCTTCTGACACTCACCAGACGATGATCAAACCACAGGCGATACAAGCTTCACAGAAAGACCCTTTCTCCTGTGCTGATAAATAGTCTTTATTTCTAAAGCAGCTCTTTACTTGGCTCTGGCAGAAGCAATTAGCCTGACCATGGGATAGCGAGTGACTATGCAACCCAAATGCCCATCATGAACTGACTGTTATCTGATTCACTGACCATAAAACTAAACACACACAGCAACATTCCACTACGAAAAAAAAAAGCAGTCTTCTGGTATATGGGATTGGTCCAGAACACATAAGTCAACTGCTCATGGTATTGCACCCACTGCTTTTTCCTCCTACGTTATCTCACATCTATGCCTCAAGATGTATTTCTAACACAAGTTGGCAGAAGAGTAACAAATGCAGGTCTGGTTAATAGGCAGGTTTGCACAATGCACTTGAACACGCTGGAATTGGGTAGGCCCTGGACTGCAATCTGATTCAGGAATGGCATTACAACACTATAGTAACATAAATCCTCCGAGCTGGCAGACTTTTGCCAAGATATTTAGTTTTCCACTCCGTGTGGAAGGAGACTTGGCTTGAAACATGGATCCCTGACTCATGTACAATAACTAATAAATGGCCACCAGACAAGAAGAGTAACATTAGAAAATTAGTGAAAAGAAAGTTTAGGGGGAAAATGAGTGCACATATTTTTGTTTAAATATGTTTTTATTGATTTCAGAGAGGAAGGGAGCGGGAGAGAGAGAAAGAAACATCAATGATGGGAGACAATGACTGATTGGTTGCCTCCTGCATGCCCCCTACTGGGGATCGAGCCGGCAACCCAGGCATGTGCCCTTGACCAGAATCAAACCTGGGACCCTTCAGTCCTCAGGCCAACACTTTATCCACTGAGCCAAACCAGCTGGGGCAATAAGTGCACAGATTTATCAGAAGGGGTAACAATGTAAAAATGTGAAGACATTCCGTTTAATATTTCGTTTAATATTCACCAGAGCACATTCGCAGCAGGGCTGCTCTCAATAACCCAATGGGCAAGGTGAACGTCAGTTTGCCTCTGGCTCCCACCATTATCTGCCAATAACAGTGGTTGTCACTAAACTGTTGATATGGCATTATTTCCCAGCAATTCCTGTTGGCAGGTGGCTTACATGGGAGCCATTCCATCAAGAAGGGTAGTGTTTTGTCATTATAGACACAGATACATATTCTAGGTGTGGATATGCCTTTGCTGCCTGCAGTTCTATCAGCACTACTCTCCGTGGACTTACAGAATAACATTCATTACTCTGTCACTTCCAAACAAGCAATATTTTATAGCAAAAAAGAAGGGCAATGGGCTCAGACCCATGGGATTCACTGTTCTCATCATGTTCCCCATTGGCTGTATGTACCTGGCTTATAGAGGAGTGACATAGCCTGCGCCATCTGGGTCTTGGCACTATTTATTTGACAATGACCTTGTAGTTGGGATGTCATCCTACAACAAGCAATTGTCCCTCCTGCACAGCCAGGAAAGCACAGATCTAGGAACTCAGGGGTGGAAGTGCAGGGTTCCCTTTCACTATCAATTAATAACCCTCTGGACACATTTTGGATTTTGTCCTCATGATAATGAGCTTGGTCGGTTTCGAAGTCTTAATGCCTAAAGGAGAATTCTCTCCTACAGAGAACATAGTGGTAATTATGTTCCTCTGAATTGGAAGCTAAAATTTCCTTCTGACCATTTTGGGCTCAATATGACTGAGAAAAATAAACTGACAGAAAACAGAGTCACTGAGTTGAG